TAGGTGTCAATCAGGCCGGCAGGGGAGTGGTTTGGGGTGATCAGGCAGGCAGAAGTGGTTAGGGGCAATCAGGCAGGCAGGCGAGTGGTTAGGAGCCAGCAGTCCCGGATTGTGAGAGGGATGTCTGACTGCCTGTGGGATTTGGCCTATCGGGCCTAAACCGGCAGTCAGACATCCCCCAAGGGGTTCCAGATTGGAGAGGGTGCAGGCTGGGCTGAGGGACACCGCCCCCCCCACCCCAGTGCACAAATTTCGTGCACTGTGCCTCTAGTAAAATGATAAACAAAATAGAACCAGAGGCATAGATACAAAGAACAGACTGACAGAGGTCAGATGGGATGAGATTGGGAAGGACTGTATAAAAGAGAGTGAAGAGAGTAGCCAAAGAGCATATATATGTAATCAATAGACACAGGCAACAGAGTGTGATGGCCAGGGGAAGGGTGGCTGGGGCTGAGTGGAGGTGGGCAAAAGGGGGAGGAAATAGGGGACTTTTGTAATAGTGTCAACAATAAAAAAAAAAAAAGACAGTATCGACTGGACTTTGAGTCTTTTGGTTCTTACACATACTCTGTGCGATTAATAACATTATTTTTATCTTCATATTTTTTATTTGATATACTTTTATTTTGACATTTCATAAAATAATTAAATTAGTGATTTAATATTATTTTACCACTTTAGAAGGAGATTGTGATAGTTGCAGTCATTGTATAGAGGGCAGTTTGAGATTTGCAATACTAGGTAATTATTTCCTCTTCTGCACTCGTGTGTTTTTTAAATCTTTATTGTTGAAGTATTACATATGCCCCTCTTTTTTCCCCATTGATCCCTTCTAGCCCACGCACCACCAACCCCACTCTCAGCCTTCACCACATTATTGTCTGTGTCCATGGCCCGGCCTTCTTGGTTCAGTGGTTGAGCGTCGACCTATGATCCAGGAGGTCACAGTTAGATTCCCAGTCACTGGGCTCGATCCCCAGTAGAGGGTGTGCAAGAGGCAGCTGATCAATGATTCTCATCACTTATATTTCTCTCTCTCCCTTCCTCTCTGAAGTCAATAAAAATATATTAAAAAACCAAAAAACTTTATTTTAGCAGAAAAGCAAGCGTTAAAGAAGTTGTGAATTTGCTCGATGTTATGTAGCTGGTTCAGATTTTTGTTGTTCCTCTCTGAAGTCAATAAAAATATATTAAAAAAACCAAAAAACTTTATTTTAGCAGAAAAGCAAGAGCTAAAGAAGTTGTGAATTTGCTCGACGTTATGTAGCTGGTTCAGATTTTTGTTTTGTTTTTTAAAGTATGTTTTTATAGATTTTTAGACCGAGAGGAAACAAGAGGGATAGATAGAAACATCAATGTGTCATGGATCAGCTGCCTTCTGCATGCCCCTACTGAGGATCAAGCATGAAACCTGGGCATGTGCCCTGCTTGGGAATTGAACCTGGGACCTCTTGGTCTATGGGACTACGTTTAATCTACTGAGCCACACCAGCTGGGCCCCATGTTTGATTTCAAATGAAAAAACCTCCAACTATAAAATCATCTGAATGACTGCTTCCCTCTCCCCCAATTTTCAGTGTTTCTTTCTACTAGAAAACATAAAACATTTTGGTAACAACATCTAGGTTTTCCACAAAGTAACTTTAATCTGCTTGCCTTCATGTGCTTCCTATCAATGCAGAAACTGTCTACCCCAGGCAATAAGACCTTCATCTCGATTACCCTGCCTTTGCTCATACCCTCACCCCTTTCTCTCTTCTTCACTCTGCCTGTTTACTAACTTTCACTCAGCCTCTGCTTTCGTTTCTTAAGGGGGAGGCCATGGTGGAATTGAGTCTCTTGAGCTGTTTATTCCCTGTAGAAACCTAAAAGAGTGTTGCTCCAATTTTGTGCATTGAGCTTTCTCAGGTCCATATGGGAAAGTCTACATCAATTGAGTGTTAGTTCTCCAGAGAAGGATTCTCCCAGGTCAACAAGTCAATGCCATATAATGTCATTAAATTGGTCCAGTGAATCACTGAGTTGTATTTATGGGAGAGGTGGGTTTTTTTGTTTGTTTTTGTTTGAAACTAAAGAGGTGAAACCTGCTTAATTGGGATGAAAATCAGAGGCAGGTTAGGTTCTGCTTATGTAACTATTACTGGGTTTACCATTTATAGCTCTTCTCATTTATAACTGGACATGTCCATCAAGTGATAGCTCAGTGCTCAGGTAAGAATGTCAACTACTCTGCCTTTTGTATTCATATATCCAACCATCTGGTTAATGATTAGAGCTATATGTGGTCTGCTTGCATGAATAATCAATTCATAGAGGGTTGTAGCTGGGGTTGGAGGTGTTCAGAAATAAGACTGATCACGCAGAAAGGTGACACCCAGAAGAGGGAGTGATTTGCCCAGTCACACAGAGTTAACACTGGAGCCAGAGCACATGTCAGTGGGTTAGGTCAGCAGAGGGTAGCTCATGTTAAAGGGAGAAGATGGAGCATTCAGGTTTAGTTGTTGCTTTTAATCACTCATGAAGGCAGTGATTTGGATTGGTTCTGTGACTTTATCAGTCCCCTGAAGCCTGTTTATTTTTAACAGGATGCTCTAAATTATCTTATTCTTTAATGTCATTTTTATACACTTGGAACTCAATATATACTTTTGTCTATCAGAAATGGCACTTAGGTGCTTTTTCCTGAAGAGTCTACTTTATTAATTTTAGAAGACTTTTTTGTGATATCCAAAATATAATTATTAAAGTTAATACAGACATTTTATTTTAAAATATCACTATGGTCAAACTCAGTAAATCAACTTGCCTTTTCCCCTCAGCTAATATCCTAATGATCTGAGCTCAAGACAACATTACAATGTTACCCGTCTTCAGCTTGCTTGTCCTTCTGTCCTGGCTTCCTCATATCCCACAGTAAAATCTTACTGGCTTTCAGGCAGGCATCACACAAAGACCAGCAGGCCTCTGTTCTAGTGCTAAGGTGTCATTGAACATCTTTGATTGGAGCAAGTCAGCCTTCTTCCTTATGCCTTCCTCCTTCCCCTTCATGGCTCTTCTATCCATGACATCCTGCGATTATAACTGCTCACTCTCCCTCTCCATTCAGAAGCAAGTCTTCCCTCTGTAAATTTCTACGGCACTTGTTCCCACTCTGGTTTCCCTTAAATGCCAGCCTGAGAAGTGGGCATTTTATTTCGTGGATAAGAGGAGACCTTGAAGGTTCTGGGAAAGGGGATGATGCTATTTTGGCAAAGGTATGAGGGGTAGATTGGAGAAGTTACAGAATGTGGAGAAGCCAATTAGGAGACCATTTAGTAATGGGGGAGGTCGGGGGGAGGGGGACTGAAGGGGAGGAAAGGAGGCAGTGAGTTGGAGTGGTCAGTGGGGACGGACTTACTGTGGCCAGAAGAACTCCAAATTTTAAAGATCCTTGAGCCTGACAGTGATGGGATCCTGGGGACCGGGGAGAGTTGGTCTGGGTGACTAGGGAGAAATTAGGAGACCATTTAGTAATGGGGGAGGTCGGGGGGGGAGGGGGACTGAAGTGGGGGAAAGGAGGCAGTGAGCTGGAGTGGTCAGTGGGGATGGACTTACTGCGACCAGAAGGACTCCAAATTTTAAGATCCTTGAGCCTGACAGCGATGGGATCCTGGGAACCAGGGAGAGTTGGTCTGGGTGAGTAGGGAGGAGAAGGGGGAGAAGTGAGGTGCGCTGCTCAGAGAGGGGCTGGAAAGGGCAGGGACTGGGAGGCAATGATCAGCTCTGCTTGGAACTGACTGGCCCACAGGACTCAGGCAGCAGTGTGCCTCCTACAAGCCGGCCCACCACTACTCCAGGGTCTCTTTAGCCTGGCTGTCATATGAATGGAAGGGAAGCCCTGCAGCTTGAAGATTTCTATGAAAAAAAACATCAGAGAAACACCCACGTCAGAGCCAGAGGGATGTCCAGCGTTGTTTTCCTGTTCCCAAACACACAGGGGGCACCTGAATGTGGGGAGAGGGAGACACTCTTTTTGAAGGGTAGTGGCAGAGTGAGGATGAGAGCTGAAGGCAATGGTATTTCCAATCCCACAAGGGCCTCAAAATTCTACAAAGCCATGGGTTAATTCTGGGGCCTCCTATTTTTTTGTGTTTATTTTTTCTTCAGATGCTATATTCCTTAATGACAGAGTCTGGGTTTTCCTAATTTTAATATTTATTCTTCCATCTATTCAGTAATCATTGGTTTAGCACCTATTGTGTCATTTATTATCTGTTTTAGGCACCGAGAATACAGCAGAGAACAGAACAAAGCTCAGAGCGGGGGTGTGAGATAACAAGCATCTCCTTTACAGCAAATTTCCTGATCTCTTTGAGTGCCCGGGGGGCACACTTCTTGAAACTCACTCCATGGATGCATTTGTTAATGTTGATGGTGTATTCTCTGGTCACTACCTCGCTGATGGCAGAATAGTCCTGCATCTTCTCACCCTCTTCTTCGTGGGAGACATTATGCCAGGCCCAAGTTGGAAAGCCATCTGTTGTTATTTGGTACTTTTAAAACAAGATTTCTGAGTTAAAAATTCTTCAATTCTTCATTTGTATTTGAAAGATATATTGTTCTAATATATTGGCCATTCTCAAAATTGCCAATTTGAAGACCTGTCAAAGTGAGCTCATCATTTCATCTTCTGGCAAGAATTTCAAATTCAGCTCTTGGACAGTGACTTCATAATTAACATTCAATGTTGATAAAAAACAGTATCTACTCCCCTACCAAAATGAAAAGGCAGAATCAAAGCTCTGTGGTTGAATTCATCCTCTTGGGCTTTTCTAACTTTCCTGAGCTCCAAGTTTCTCCTGGGGGCAATGGCTTATGACAGATTTGCTGCAATCTGCCATCCTCTGAGCTACCCAATGCTTATGAACAAAAGGGTTTTCATGAAATTACTAATGTTCTCATGGGTCTCAGGGGTCATGGTGGCTACTGTGCAGACTACGTGGGTTTTTAGTTTTCCCTTTTGTGGCTGCAATAAACTCAATCATCTCTTCTGTGAGACACCCCCAGTGCTGGAGCTTGCATGTGCAGACACCTTTTTGTTTGAAATCTATGCATTCACTGGCACCATTTTGATCGTCATGGTTCCTTTCTTGTTGATACTCTTGTCTTACATTCGAATCCTCTTTGCCATCCTGAAGATGCCATCAACCACTGGGAGGCAAAAGGCCTTTTCCACCTGTGCCTCCCATCTCACGTCTGTCACCCTCTTCTATGGCACAGCCAGTATGACTTACTTACAGCCCAAATCTGGCTACTCCCCAGAAACCAAGAAACTGATGTCATTGGCTTACACATTGCTTACACCTCTGCTGAATCCACTGATCTACACCTTGCGAAACAGTGAGATGAAAAGAGCTTTGATGAAATTCTGGCGAAGAAGAGTAGATTTGCACACATTCTGACTGTGCTGGGAAGCCACGCAATATTTGGTGATTGCTTGACTAAAATCTATTTTAATTCAATAAATGGCCAAACAATCTGCATTTCTTGGTATGAATATGCTTATTTGGTTGAGTTTTTGAAATTCAATTACATATTAGGGCTACTTCCTTAATATTATTAATAGTGTACAGCTGTCATTCATTTTTCTAGATATAAAAGTTTTCATAACATATAATACAACTGATAAATTTGTTTATTAGTTCCTCCATTGTAATTATCCAAATCATTACTGAATTACTAAAATGAAGCTTCAATGAAACCTCTTTCTTATGTTCTTATGTACTGATGTTTTATTTTTGTACTAGAGGCCTGGTGCATGAAATTTGTGCATGGGGGTGTGTGTCCCTCAGTCCAGCCTGCACCCTCTCCAATCTGGGACCCCTTGAGGGATGTCTGACTGCCTGTTTAGGCCCGATCCCACCTAAACGGGCAGTTGGACATCCCTCTCACAATCCAGGACTGCTGGCTCCCAACTGCTCGCCTGCCTGCCTGCCTAATTGCCCCTAACTGTTTCTGCCTGCTAGCCTGATCACCCCCCTAACCACTCCCCTGCCAGTCTAATCGACGCCTAACTGCTCCCCTGCTGTCCCAATTGCCCCTAACTGCCCTCCCCTGCAGGCCTTGTCACCCCCAACTGCCCTCCCCTGCCGGCCTGGTCACCCATAACTGTCCTCTTCTGCAGGCCTCATCATCCCCAAATGACCTCCCCTGCTGGCCCAGTCACCCCTAACTGCCCTCCCTTGCCAGCCTGGTCGCTCCTAACTGCTCTCCCTTTCAGGCCTGGTCACCCCCAACTGCCCTTCCTTGCTGGCCTGATTGCCCCCAACTGCCCACCCCTGCCCTTCCTGTTCCCCCCAACTGCCCTCCCCTGCAGGCCTGGTTCCCCCCAACTGCCCTCCCTTGCAGGCCTGGTCCCTCCCAACTGCCCTCCTCTGCAGGCCTGATCGCCCACAACTGCCCTCCCCTGCTGGCCATCTTGTGGTGGCCATCTTGTGTCCACATGGGGGTGGCCATCTTGTGTGTTGGAGTGATGGTCAATTTGCATATTACTTTTATTAGATAGGCTGATAGAATCCCCAAATTTGCCTGATGGGATGGAATATACATGTTTACAAATTTTAAGAGCTATTGTAGAATTACTTTTCAAAATGATTGTAACTCCGTGAGGTGGACCCAAAGGCCCACTCTGCTGCACCCATAGGGTTAAATTTCAAGAGACCAATAAACAGATGAGATGTTTATTTCTGGAGTGAAAACCTGTTCCATGAATGACTAAACAAAGTGCAGTTATTTTGGGAAGACCAAACTGGTTCTTCTTCCTGGACCTACACAGATTATTATTCACAACAGGATTTCTCTTGGTATTTTTCCAGATATTCATCAGGATGTTGGTGGCCAGAGAACTACATGGGAACTCCCCTGAAGTCTCACTCGATAGTTTTAATAGCTTCTTCAGTTACAGACCACTGTTTTTAAACATAGGGTGATTCATTTTTTAAATTGTGGAAAACTAAGTGATTAACTATTTGTGCATATCTTCCATGCTCCTTGAATCACATCATTAACTATCACATGGAGAGAAAGAAGTAATAATTTCTCATCTAGCAACATTTGAAACATTTAATGTTTGCCTCCTATTTTAATGTTGCTAATGTTCATAAACAGAGAGGGGCCCCTTTATTTTTTCTTTTTTATTGATTAAAGTATTACAAAGAGTATTACATATGTCTCCTTCCCCCCACCCCCTTGACATTCCCCCTTTATTGAATCTATAACATATGAGCTCCTATTGCTCTTAGTTTCTGCTTCAGGGGTGATAACAAAGGTGTAAAATACTATTCTCATTGTCATTCAGCTGTGGGAAAAGCAATCTTTTAATTATGCACTACTGCCTCTGCCAAAGATGAGAAGTAAAGATACAAAACCGATTAGATTTTCACAAAAGGAAATTTCGTCATCAAATGGTTGAAACCAGTTTGAATAATATTTGAATATTGTATAATCTTTTCAATAGGGCATTAAATAGGCATTTAGAAATCCTTTAATCCGATTATGTATCTTAGTGTTCTGACATTTCCTTCTCATGCCCGTTAAAGAGTTCAATTACAGGGGAAAAAAACCCACACAAACCTCCCAAGCCCTAAGTCCCAAGACAAATATTCAACTTTCATTTATTTATTCATTGATTAAACAAGTTTTTGTTAGGGGTGACTTAATGTGACTGTCCCTGGGGAAATACAGCCTCTGTCCTTTCGCAATTCAAGGTTTTTTGGAAGATCACTGATTTGGGGAGGTCACAGGAGCCAGTTACACCATACCTATGTCTCCACCCCAGCAGAGGAATGAAGTTGAGCAGATAAGGTTCAAGGTTTGGTTGCATACGTGATGATTTCAAAGTCGTGATGATTCTCCATGTAGTTATGGCTTTGACAAAAACAGCCTGTTCAAAAGGATCCTGTTATGATTTTACTCTAAATAACAATTCTGGCAATACCAGCTTTAATCTCATGGCAGCTAACAGGACTAACACTTGAAATCATGCTTTCCTGGCTTTGAAGTTGACACCAAGATTTCCAATCACAATCAATGTGGACAAGAACAAAGTAAACTTTTAAAATGTAAAACTTGCTTGAAGCATGTCAAAACATGCCTTTCTCTCCAGCCGATATGTTTTTCACTCCATTTTTCAGCTGATTAATTCCTTTTGTCTTTATTTATTTAAAAAAATTTTAATTGAATTTATTGAGGTGACATTGGTTCCTCAAACCATACAGGTTTCAAATATACAACTCAACAAAACATCATCTGCACACTGCATCGTGTTCTTTCTTTACACCTTAAATTGTCCTTTCCTTAAGGCAACCATTCTTGACCCCCGACACCCATCTTCTTTTCCCAAATTAGTCTATCTGAACACTCTGTTCTCTTTCTTTCTTTCCTTCCCTCCTTCCTTCCTTCCTTCCTTCCTTCCTTCCTTCCTTCCTTCCTTCCT